GTCTTAAAGTGACACCCAGCTGGCTGTGCCACACGCCGGGGAGATGATGGGGAGGGCTGGAGCTGCTTCCCTCGGACAGGGAAGGCAGCGAAGCACAGCAGGAGGCCCTGGAGGGGCTGAAATGCTGCAGGGACAGCACAGGAAGACAAGCTCAAGAGGCTGCCCAGGTTCAGAGCTAGGTGTCTTTCCAAGTATGCAGAAGAGGTACAATCCAATTCCACTCCTTTTTTGCCCTTTGATGGAACTTCGTGGCACCCTCGGCTCTGCCAAGGTTGGGTCCCCGAGCCGAGCATGGCAGAGACCTCAGCAGAGCACTCCTGGCATCTGCAGTGACAAGGGCTGTGGCACATGCCAGCAGCCAGCCAGGGCCACATTCCACCCTCCATCTTTTCATGTTCAAGTACAGCTCCTGCTGCCCACACACCCCCCTGCGACTCGGTAGTTCCTTGCAACACCCACGCTCGGCAGTTCTCCAGAACACATGAGATGCCACCTGGGCAACCAGCCCCTGCTCGGGTGGAGTCTTCTGCCCAGAAGTGACTGCGGTGCCCACGCACCACAAAACTTCACCTTGTCTTCACACAGTTCAGTTTCAGGAGAAAAAGTTCCCACCCTTCCAGCCCAAAGCTTATCTCCTGCCCCTCGCAGACTATCGCTCCCAGGCAGCCCAAGGTGCTTCCGCAGCCTCCCCAGGCCTGTGGCTTTCCTCCCACCAGTAGCCGAGGCAGGAGCTGGGTCTGCTGCAGCCCAGGTGCTCACCAGCAGGCTGCTGGAGGGTTGGAGCAGCTTCTGCATCACAGGCAGGCTCAGAGACAGACCCCCAGTGCACCCCTCCACTCAGGAAGTGACCCATGATCTGCCACAACTCCCTGCATGTCCCCAGAACATTTCTTTGGGTTGAATCTGCCAAGTTGGACCAAACATTCAAAGCTCAGGGAGGAGTGTAACACAGTCAGTGTGTCTGCCTGGAGCCACAGGACTCTTGCAACCCCACCATGGTCACCTCACCAGGTAATTCACCATGGCCTGAACAGGAGCCCAGCACCTCTCAGGGCAGGAGGAGAGTTTATGGAGCTTGGGTGTAGCTGGCAGGCCCTGAGCAACAGCAGCAGGGATGGGCTTCAGCACATCCTCTGCTGTCTGCTGGAGGCTGCTGCCTGTGGAAGCAAGGAACCTCAAAAAACGTTACTGGGAACAGGCAGCTGCAGCAGCAAGAGCAAATTGATATTTGGGGGTTCAAACATGCACAAAGAGCCCTGCAGAGCACAGCAGAGTGTCCCCACAGCTGGGGTATGGGACCAGCAGCAGCAGAGTGCTGGGCCACCACCGTGCCTCTGCCCCAGCCACACTGGGCACGTGCTGCCAGGGAGAGAGGGGAAGGAGATGGAGGGCCACATGCTCTTGGGAGAAGCCAGCTCCACAAACACCGACCTTGTACAGAGTTACCACCTGCAGCACCACACATCTTCCCACCCTGCAACATCCAAGAGTCCCCTCAAGTGACCCTGGCTGGGTGAAGGGCTGCCCTGATCCCCACGCCCTGCTGAGCTCCCCAGCTCTGTGCCAGCTGGCTGGGATACCAGGCTCTTCCCAGTGAGGACAGCTCCATCAGCGTTGCTCAGTGTGTGTTTAATCAGACTCACCTCTTCAAGAGGACTGAACAAACCAAAGCTGACACAGTCCTGAACCCCAGTGCAGGAGGAAATCCAGGCTGGCCTGGCTCCATTTGTCCCAAAACCAGGCAAAAGCAGAACTGTGATCATCTCAGGGGGACTCTACCCCACCACCCTTACTGATCAGCTCTGCTACACAATCAGTAGCAAGATTTCCAACCTGACCATGGATTTGCTTTTAACTATGAAGGTCTTCTTTAGGTAGCCTTCTGACCACGAAGCTGCCAGCACTGAACACCTGCTGCCCTCGGCTGCACGCCTCCCAGCACTGCCAGCACGGGGCAACTGGGAGCCGAGGGGCTGAGGCTTTGTGTTTCCCTCCAGAGGTGCAGGCAGCTCCCAGCTGCAGGGCTGCTGACAGCCCCCCCCGCCTGGCCAGCAGCCCAGCAGGCACCAGGGCCCCTGGAGGGGAGCCCGGGTCCCTAGTAGATGCCGTAGGTGGGCTCCTCGCTGTCTCGGTATCTGTCCAGGTACCTCAGAGGCTGCTGGCGAGGAAACTTCACTTGTGGAGGATGGTAAACGGGCGGGCGCACGAACTCGAACACGGGCTCCCTCATATCTGGAAGGGGGGGATGCACAACGTCAGCAAGATGGCCCCAACGTCAGCCCAGGGCCTCCCCTCCCCCAGCAAGGGCCACCATGTGCACACGGGACCAGGCCTGGCCAGGCACGCCCTGCAGAACAACCCCCTGCAGCGCTGCAGGCTTGGGGAGCAGTGGCTGGGAACTGCCCAGGGGGAAAGGACCCGGGGGGGGGTGGTCCAAAACCGGGCGAAGA